TTTTTTTTTTTGCACATGGCGGAGGAGGCCTAAAGCGAAAAGGTTTTATAAAACCCAGCTGAAAGTCTAGGACTGGGGTGATGGTGCGCATGCCCACAGAGAGGGCTCCGAGTGCCGCCTCTGGCACCCGTGCCATAGGTTCGCCACCACTGATATATATAGTCACCCACTCACTCTCAGTGACTCTGGACAGCTTACAAAAAACAGTTGAAACCATAACCCCCACCAGCCTTGCGACAACAGTCAATCAGATTTGATAAATCCTTTGGGGTTGTGCAAAATTTGGGAGAGATATTTTGCTTCAATCATTCCTTCTAACAAAGCACTATCTGTCTGTTCAAGACAGAGTCACACGTCTTGTTAAAGCAACTGCCTCCCTGGCCTTCAACTGTCTACTTCAAGGGTCAGAGGTCATTTCTATCAAAGGGAAGTGCCCTGTCTAAAAATGCATTTGATTGTGTAAGTCTGACATGTGATTCATTACAAGAATTACTGACCAGATCAGGGGTAGACATCTTGGCTCTTTTATTTATTTATTTATTTATTTATTTATTTATTTGTTTATTTATTAATTTATTATTTAAATTTATATACCGCCCTATCTCCCTTACGGGACTCAGGGCGGTGAACAGGCAATAATAAAAATCACAATAAATATTGAATAAAAGCCTGCTCTAAAATATAAAACCCCTAACAAAGCCCAATCAAAACTACGCCAGGCCGGCCGCATGGAACAAATGAGTTTTCAGGGCTCGGCGGAAGAGGCGCAGGTGCGCAATTGTACGTAGGTCGGGGGGCAGGTCATTCCAGAGGGCAGGAGCTGCCACAGAAAAGGCTCTCCCCCTGGGGGTCGCCAGCCGGCATTGGCTGGCCGACGGTACCCTAAGGAGGCCCTCTCTGTGGGAGCGGACTGGTCGAAGGGAGATATTTGGTAGGAGGCGGTCTTGCAAATACCTAGGTCCATTGCCATGGAGTGCTTTAAAAGTTGTTACTAACACCTTGAAACGCACCCGGAAGACCACCGGCAGCCAGTGCAGCTCGCACAGGAGAGGTGTTACATGGGAGCATCTAGAGGCCCCCAAAATCCCCCGCGCAGCTGCATTCTGAACTAGCTGGAGCCTCCAGGTGCACCTCAAGGGGAGCCCCATGTAGAGAGCATTGCAATAGTCCAGGCGGGAAACAACAAGGGCTTGAGTGACCGTGCGTAGGGCGTCCCGATCCAGAAAGGGGCGCAACTGGCATATCAGTATGACTCGTGGACTTCAACTCCCAGAATTCCTGAGCCAGCCATGCTGAGGGGAAAGGGAGAGGTTTCCAAGCTGAGCCAGGCTGGCTCAGGAATTCTGGAGTTGAAGTCCATGAGTCATAAAAGAGCCAGGGTTGCCTACCCCTGGACCAGATTCTTATGAATGTGGCCTGAAATTAGAATCCTGATTAGTTACTCTTTTTTGTGAAGCTCCCTCGGCCACATTCATTTCAAATTTCATTCCAAAACAGATTTACTTCCTAGAGATGTAAAATTAGCTGGACCTTCTTCCAAATAGAGAATTGAGCATCAGAAAATTGGTCAGACAGATGGCACATGAAAAAGAAATACTTCTTTTTTTTTCTTTTTTTGGACATCAAAATATGTTTTTTTAAGAAGAGAGAACAGTAGAGTATTCAAATGTAATCTCTCAGGAAATTGTCTTTCATTTCTTAATGTAAGGTTTTTCAACCAGTGGTACGGGTACCACCTATGGTACATTGGCACCTGGCAGGTGGTACGCAAGCATCTTAGAAAAGTGGTAGCAGGGGAGGGGAATGAGCTGAACCGGTGGCAGCACCGCACAAGCCTGAGCGAGAGATGGCTGGAGCTACAGGGCTGCCAGGGCTCAGCGGAAGCGCCAGGATCAGTGCCGCTTTCCAGCTGATCGGTGTTTCTTCGGAGCTCTCAGGGCTCAGCGGAAGCACCAGGATCAGCGCCAGGCTCCAGCTGGAGCTCAGCGCTGATCCTGGTGCTTCTGCTGAGCCCAGAAGAAGCACCAATCAGCTGGAATGTTGCAGCATCTCCAGGGTCTTGTCATATACATTCAGATGCTTGGCAACTGATTCATATTTATGACGGTCACAGTGTCCCAGGGTCATGTGAAGTGACCAAAACCTGCTGCAACCACCCAGCAGACGGGGGGAATAAAAACCAAACACCCCCCCATCCCACCCCTGCTGCCAATCCTCAACAGAAATGCTCACAACAATGGAAACCTTGGACAGGAGGAAGAGCGCGGCTGGGTGGGCAGGCAGGTGTCTTGCTCGGCTGTGGCTTGGGGGGCACTTTTTTCAGTGCCACTGTAACTTCGAACAGTCACTAAGCGAACTGTTGTAAGTCGAGGACTACCTGTACTTTATCACTTTTTTCCTTTTTGGGGGGGGGGGTCATCAAGTTTTTGACATCTTGCTAGGCGACTGGTGGTACTCGGATATTGCCAGACCCTAAAAGTGGTACAATGGGTGAAAAGGTTGAAAAGCCCTGTCTTAACGGACACTGTGCTGCTGTGCAGTTTGGCAACCTGGCCATACAATCAAATATCTCGCAAGGTATGAAATGGATTTAAAAGATCCAGGACATCACAAAAGAATGTAACATCCCTGCCAATGCAGAACTAAAGATCCCCAATTTAGATTGTGGTGTCTTAATTTAAAACGCTTGGCCCGTTGAGCGAGATACCTTTTCTTATTTTATTTCTGACTGTTTCCACGTTATCTTTCCACTTTGAATGGATGTTATGTAAAACTCTCTTTCCCCATTTGAAAGCAGCTTGGGAGGATTTAAAATTTCCCCCATTTTGTTACACTAGAATAGATGCCAGCATAATGCAAGGCTGCTCTGAGTAATGAATAAAACATAATTTTCCCAAGCATGACATTTTAAAGCATTGCCAAATTATTCTTTCTTCTTTGCTGGGTTTTTTTTTTCTCCTCCTCCCCAAAGAATTTATGTCTATAAGAAGCATGAATCTATGTTTCAGCCGCATGGAAATGGGGGTGCGAGACAAATGTGTCGAGGAATTTGCATTGAGTTTTCCTTCCAGTGTCAAAGAAATTTGAGCAAGACAGATTAGCACAAAATATATGGGAGGCTATTGAGAGTCCTGGCCATGGTTGAGAATAACAAGAGTTTATGATGACTTCATAGATAAT